ACACTTACACACCTGGTTTCGCGAGATCTTTGTTTGGGGCGGACCCAGCCCAAAATGCATAAATGTATTGTGAAATCATGACTCGGGAGTCAGTGGATGGAACTCCTGCGGGAGCTCTGTCTCTCCGATCCCAGCACTGTAAGGCCTACCTGTGATCAAACATGCAGTAAACTTTCCGCTGATTTTAAACAGTCCTCTCCTGTCGTCACTTCTCGTGCTTCCAACAAAAGAATTGGGTTAATTTCTGACAAAGAGGTTAGATTCTAACAAACACCAGGATGATCCGCCTCCAGGCGAGACATTTGAGCATAGTAGTATGTCAGATATCTGGCATAGTTTAGCTTATCATAAGCAAAACACCATGGAATGGTTGCTCTAATTGCTGCAAGATGCATCCACTTACCCTCTCTTGATGCCCAAATAAGACTAAGCAAAATCTCAACCATGTCCACATAAGACATCCAGAAGGCAGACTGGGGACCATTGTTTTCTCTAAGGTAGCCGAGGAACTCGCTGAATCGTGCCAAAATGCATTGACTTGAATCTTGCTCGAGGATTCCCTGAAATCTTTTCTGAGATATTTCTTCACACAGGTTTTCGACTGCTTTTAGAGTTGCTTCCAAGTGAATTAGATCATCATGATGATTCTGTTCTAACCATGGATGAAAACCTTTCCATGCTAGTCTCAGGAAAGCCTCATAGAGCAGCTTGTGCAGCCTTACTGCTCGATTGTACCTGTGACCATCAATAACCCCTGAAACTGAACCATCAGCTATCACTCCTGCCTCAACACAAAGGTCTCTTAGACCAGCATCTGCAAACCGTTTTCCAGTTGTTGCCATGAATGTACAGGTAGTATGGAAGACCCTCATTCTAAGGATGATGTTCTTGCATAGCTCCTGGTGTTTCCAGGGGCCTATTTCAAGAAGGCGGTTTTGTCGAAACTCAGTTTGTTAACCCCGAAATGAGGGAAACTCTGAGTTTTCAGTTTCAGAAACAGAGGTAACTTAAACCCGAGAAAGCGGGGTAAGTTAAACCCGTTTCACAAAGGGAGGTAATCTAAACTCAGAGTCAGTTACTATGGCAACTTACTCTGTGAACCTAACCTGCTTGGGAGCAGGTTTTGTTCGGGAAACTCAGAGTTTCCTCCGGGTCTCCGCCCCTTTTTAAAGTGAAAGGTGTTTAATACCTCATTTAATCTTTCAGTACATTCATAGATTGCACACGTTTCCGTCACGCAGAGACCAAAATGGCGTGTCCATTCATAGAGGATCCTGTAGATGAGGACGCTGTAGTAATTCGCAGGGAATTGCATTTACGTCGGGAGAGGATATTGAGGCCACGAGTTGATTTTTTGTCATATCCCCATGTATTTTTATTTGAGCGGTACCGTTTTTCTAGAGAGTCCATAACATATATCAATAATCTTATCCACCCATACATCAGACACATCACCCATCGTGGCCGTGCTCTTACATCCGAGCAGATGCTTTGTGTTGCATTACGATTTGTTGCAAACGGCAGTTTTCATTATAACATCGGGGATGCAGAGCACATTAGTAAGGCCACAGTACGTAGAATAGTTCGTAAAGTGTGCCTCACCCTCAAGCGCTTTCTGTGAATTTTTGTTGTTTCCTGGGCACAAACCCCTCAGAGCCATTAAAGAGGAGTTTCACAGGATTGCAGGTTAGTGGTATTGAATTCGTTTCAGTAAGGCTAATCTGAAAAATGATGATCAGTTAATAACATCTTGCTGTGACCTCTGGAAATAAACTAATAATTAGAATCCCCTTCAGGATTTCCAAATGTGGTTGGATGCATTGATAGCACACATATTCCCATCAATGCACCTACATGAAAATTAAAATTCAATTCTTATATTACATCAGTGTTGGGTAAATCTTAAAAAAGTATTTTGATTGATGTAATAATTACTCTCCATAAAATGTATTGGATTATTTATTAATCATTACTTTACAAATCCCATATCAACCACAATAGGAATTTTAAGAAAGGGTAGACATAAAACTGCACTTTTAATTCGTACAAAAATCGGTATTTTATGCAATTACTGAAGTTACTCATTCAATTATTGAAGAATTAAGAACCATTCCTTACTTTACAAGTGACAAATAATAACATTACTAACATTATTTAGTAATTACTTACACCGAACACTGTATGATTAAAATGTAAACGTACGCATTGACTCGGGCAGCTATTTTCCCCCAAGCTAACTCTTTCTCTTTCGCCACTGCAGCCGTGTTGTTTTTTTGTTTTTTTTTACGAAATATGGGCTCGTAGTCACTATATGCTCGTAGTAGCACATCCATTTCTGTCGGGGAAAAACGCAGACCTATTTTGAGTTGGTCCTGTTGCCATGGTGACTCGTAATGTCTTCACTCCATTGTTCAGGGCTTTTTATAGTCGCGTGGCACGCGCCTAACTCTGAGTCAGACAACTCAGAGTTGATTAAACCAACTCTTTTCAGCTGTTCTGAAACCGAAAACTCAGAGTTTTCCAACTCTGAGTAAGTCAACTCAGAGTTCAGGTTTGAACTCTGAGTTTGTTAAACCGCCTTCTTGAAATAGGCCCCTGGTTTGTGGCTTGAGAACACAACTTGTTACCTTTTCTCTGAAAGAATTCATGTTGGATTGTAGGGAGGTAAAAGGAAACCATCTTCTTAAACCCCAACATGGACACAATGAGAACAGAAGATAAATCAAATTTGAACACAACAGTGCAACACAGAGGTCAGATCATTTACCAGTGGGGACATCCTGCTGCAGCTCATCCTGCAGGAAGCTGTGGACCAGCTTCTGGCTCGTCTCCATGTGGTCCCGGACCTCGGCCTGCTGTTGGTCCAGGACGACCCTGTTCCGAGAGGTCTGGTTCTGAAGGGTGGTCAGAGCCCCCTTCACCACCTCCTCCTGCAGGCCAGCCAGCTCCTCCTCTGCTGCCCGGCGCTGCTCGTTCAGCCCCACATGGATGCTCTGGAGGGATTAGAGAACAAACAAGTTTCACCTCCCAGGTGAAGCATGTGTTGATGTGTCACGAAACCTCAAACTTGGGTATAAATAAGCCTGAAGGAATCAGATAACACCCAGTGAGACTGTCATGGTCGGATCCTCCAGGCCCTGCTCAGACGCTTGCTGATATTTTCATAATACTTTATTACCATTATATTCTTATTAGCAACTTAACATCTAGTTCTGATGGTGTTTATGTCAGAGGCTGTCCTTACCTGATGCAGCATCTGGGCTTCAGTGGAAATCTGCCCCAGCAGGGAGGCGTGCTCCTGGGCCTTCAGCTCTGCGTGCTCCCTGATGCTGCTGCTCCACTCGAGGTCTCGCTCCACCAGAGCTGAGGTCACACATCGACAGCCTCAACAGTAATGAATGAACCACAGACATGAGTTTAAAGTCTAAATGAGAAGACGTTTGCTCTACCGGACACGGCGTCGTGGAGGTGGGAGCAGCAGCCCGTCATCTCCTCCAGCGTCTGCTGGCTCTCATTGGCGTTCAGAAGCAGTGAGG